TGCTTATTCTATGGCCAGAACCCTCTTTCTGTGTAAAATTTCATAATGTTCCGGTCATAATTGTAAGTTCTCCAGAAAAACAAACAAAAAAAGTTTTGGTCCATTTCATTTCCTAAATTGTAACGGATCAAAACGGATCAAAAACAATAGGGATTTTCTTTAGGGATTGGTTAATAACTGTGGCCTATATCATGTTTACAACCACACATATTTAGATCGACTCAGCTAGGTATACTTAAAGGTGGGTCTATGATCAATATTTCGTGGTGTTACAAACGTTTGGGGCCACACAAAGCTATAATACTTTGACAACATAGTTGTGTAGGGTGTACTTATTTCACTACCCAAGATATTGTTATCCATTTTGGTCCTATTAGGCAATCCTATTTTTTCACTACTTTTTCTGTATATTCAATGTCCTATCCTATTTTGAATGCCATCCTCATGGTGGAGAGTATAAAAATTTCGGCCGGGCCGCTCATAACATTTAAAACGTGGATCCATCTTTTGACCTTCTTTATATATATGGCTATGGTTCCATAACCACGGCGGTAGGTTATGGAACCATACGGCGGTTCCGTTATAAAACAAGGATGATAAACCACCATATAACCGAATATGACCCCGCCCCACCCCACCATATAACCGAATATGACCCTCGTCCTCTGACGGCACCAATGAAACGAAGGCGTTTTGCTAGGGTCGGATAATTTTTTGATCAGACTTCGTATATAGTTTATTGCGTCTACGGCGAACATTTGGAGATGTTGCAAATGCAAGAAAACAATTATATGCTCTTCATTTGGATTTTGCCACTTCAAAATGAAACGTGTTGGTCCATTCATAGGTATGATGATCAAATATGTGCAGGGTCCCATGCAAGTTTACATTCTCTTAATTTAAATACACACCCAAGTATTTAAAATTATTCAAGTGACCGGATGTCTGCACCATCAGGGCACTTCCATGTTAGCCATGACAGAAGATGTTAATCAAATTTTATTGGCCAGTTAATTGACAGTTTTGAATGTTGGCAACATCGTAATATGTGTGCATTTAAAAAACCAAATATATTACCTTGAATTCAACTAAACGCATTAGTCTATCATGTTTCTGAAATGTTATAAAAATTAAATTATAATAAAAAATCATATGTTTTTTTTTTTAATTTGAAGGTTTCGTATGTATTTCTTATAGCATAGTACAACAACAATTTAAGATAGCCATTTAATAGATAGTCGTTTAAGTCATAAAAATACGCCCGCTACTTTATTAACCCACCAGCTAGCATTTGTTCCCAATAATGCTGTTTCTACCTAATATAGCTATCTAATGAGTTAAGGCTGCCATGGGCGACACATCTTTATATACTTTCGAAATATTATTTTGATTTATTACCACTCAACAATTAACTAAGCCAATTTAAATGTCCATTAAATTTTAAGTGGTGTTATATATATTTGTTTTGTTTTTATATTCAATGCATTGCAACTAATCTTTGCTCCCAACTCGGCGGGTTGAAAAGTGTAAGTTCCGCTTATGAACTGGGGAAAAACTAATCACGCTTATATTCGATTTTAAAACGCCCCAAAGATAAAATTATGTGGCTAAAGTGTAATAAAACACAACAGCAATCTATGAACAGATATATATTTTTTTAGTTCGAGCAAATTAAGTGATGCTCTCACCTCACACATGTTAGCCGTCAATATTTAGTGGGTAATTAAGTCATTTATAATGATGCAGTCTTCTCTGGGTATCATACTGGCTTCAGTCATAAATCAAATTTTATTAGCACCAAAATATATTAAACAAAAATCCTAAAAGCTATATGAAAATTGACAAAAGACGTGCATCGTCGTTGTTGTTGTTTTTGCATTATTTTTTATAACTATAGAAATTTATGCAATGAATTAAATACACACATAGAGATTTTTTGTTTGTTTTTAATTTCATATCTATTCGAAATATGTTTGAATTAAAATTCATAAATCAAAGCGTTAATTTGGTCCCTTTACCATAAGGATACTGTCATTTATTGCAATGGAGATTGAAAAAAAGAAAACTCATGTTATGATAGGACCTTGAGAATACCGAAAAGTACGTGAGCAAATATGATTGAAATTCCCAAAAATATCTAATCTATCTAGCCGGATGGAGATATTGAAGTTTTTGGTAGTGAGATTTGACATCCATTGAGAATACAAAATACCAAATTACAGATGGACATACATAAATCGACATAGAATTTTAATCTGATCAATAATGTGTTTACTTTGTGGGGTATCGAAAGAATATTTCGAGGTGTTGTAGCGGGTACCCATATGAAACAAATATTACTCTGAAGACGTACATACTACATACACAAAGTATATATCAAATTACTCAGATTCGCGAGTACAACAATTACAAAATTAATATTTGAAAATTTGTGATTGCGCATTGAGACTAAACACTCAAAATCGGGCTTCAAAATTTCAGCAAATCGACATAAGAAACCCCAGTTGCCTCACCCTGGTTTTACCCATTTGTGCATATGTTTGTAACAGGCAAAAGGAAACGAGATTGACACATGGTTCCTTTTGAGAAAATGCATAGAATCACTTTCTAAGTCGATCTATACATGTCCGCCCGTCTGTCCATGCTAAATTGTAAACAAGGTACATGTCGCATTTGTGATGCGAATTGCACGAAATTCCGCACAGCTCATTTATTTGGCCCAAGGACGAACCCTATTAAAATTGGGAAAAATCGGTTCAGATTTATATATATATATATATTTTCGTACGATTTTATGTAAATGCTGCACCAAATTTGGTATATCGTACTGAATTAGGTCTAGAATGGTGTGTGTTAAGTTCCCTTATATATTTTCGTCTGATTTTATATATATTTCGATTTGCACGAAATTTGATATTGTGTACAGAATTAGGTCCAAAATGAATGTGTTAAATTTCCTGAAAATCGGTTCAGATTTAGATATAGCTCCCATATATATTTTCGTTCGATTTAAGGTGAATGATGTACCATAGTCCCTAAAAATATTTCGATTTGCACGAAATTTGGCATAGCGTACTGAATTGAGTCTAGAATGGTGTCTACTAAGTTTCGTAAAAATCAGTTCAGATAAATGGTGTATCAAAGTCCCTATATATCTTTCTATTTGCGCAAAATTTGTCATAGCGTACTGAATTAAGTCGTGAATATTGGGTACTAAGTTTCGGTTCAGATTAAGACATAAGTACTATATACCTTTTCTTCCGTAAGACCCAAAGTTTGTCCGATAGCCACACAATTTTGTGCAATGAACTGATGTTACTATAACTTAGCATGTGGAAGGTTTTTATTGAAATCGGTTTAAATTTGGATAGAGCTACAATATATATTTTCTCCGGATTTTAAGTAAAATTATGCACCAAGAACTCAAAATGTGGCCGGTGTGCACAAAACATGCTGAAATTAGTATAACCTAACCTGTGATAAGTTTCGAAGAAATCGGTTTAGATTTCGATATAGCTTTTATAAATATTTTCGTCCGATTTTAAGTTAATGGTGCACCAATCTCTCCACGTTTATAAGATATTTATCCAAATAATCAACGGGTGTCGAATTGATATTTGCTTTAAATTTATTTATGTAATTGTGTCCCATTGTAAAAAGCAACTCTATATCTGACCAAATGCAAAATTTAGTATAGGTTGCAGAATGATGTGTTTATGGATCCAATTTCATTTTTCTGGCCCTTCAAAAATGCGACATCTGTTAGGATTCATCTGTTGAATATACCCAAAGTTGTGAAGGGTATCATATAGTCTGTCCCGTCCGACTTTACTACTTTCTTTACTGGTTTTACATTAAAGTAGACACAGCTTCCACACAAATAAACTTTGGAGGTAATATCATGAAAAGTTTGCAACGACAGATCTATAAATCCAAAACTATTCAACTATTCTTATGTTCTTTAATAATTCCCGAGTTGAAGAGGGGTGGACCTCGGATTCAACTATTTTAAAAAAAATTGGTAATATTGCCCATATATACCCTATTACTATAAGTGGGAAAGTTTCCTGTAAGTGTGCCCGAATAAAGCCCGAATTGGGTTGGTAAATGTAGGGCTAGTAACCAAAGTTTAAAAAATGTTGACCCGTTGTTCGTGTCAAACCAATCTATTAAATTTTAATTTACATTTTAAAGCCTTCGATACGGCAAATCCCGATTATAAATGTACGTATTTCCTTTATTGTAATGGCTTAGAAGGAACCAACTTTATATACCCACAAGGTATATAAATTTACTCAGTGTATCTAATAACTGAAATTTGATATTTGCGTGTGTCAAATGTCTTCCAGAAGACATTAGAATCTTCAGTATGTTTCGTAAAAAAGAAATAAAAAAATTTATTAGCATATTTTAGAATTTCATATTTTTCACTCACATACAAACGAACATAATGGTTGGGGGGCAAAACAAATTAATACTGACTTAATGTTGGTCGGTACTTTTTGTGTTTTGTTTTCTTTTGCCTTTAGCTGCATGCTGTTTTAGCTAACTGCGATTTTTATACGTATTTGTTTTATTCGCATACAGAGGTAGTGCTTCTTTCTTCTGTTTGTCTGTTGAAGCCATGGAAACATTGTAAGAAGCAAATAAATAAAAATACACAAACTTGTTTAGTTGATATTTAAACAACAACACAAACAGAGAATCGACAACTGAACTTGAGTGCGGTAGGTCTGCTGCTGTGACTGGACCCTGCGAAACATAGTTTTTTGGCTATAAATTGGCAAGTGCGCTGGTCGATGAGTATCAGTTCCTTTGCTCACTTCACAAAGATCACATTCAACATTTTAATTTTCAATTCACTCAAAATGGTTAGTATAACAGAAAGGAGGATCTCTTCATTTGGCATCGAATCGGATTAAATGCAGTTTGGGATATAACAAAATAAAAATAAAATCGTAAATGCATTTCTTAATGTAATAACTTTGTATTTTTTCCAGAAACTTTTCGTAGCTGCTTCTTTTGCTCTTTTGGCCTTGGCTGCCGCTGATGTTAGCCATTTGTCCAATACCTATTTGCCACCTGTTCAACAAACCTACTCGGCTCCTTCCAACGAATACTTGCCTCCTGTACAAAGCACCTACTCTGCCCCCTCGGTCAGCTATTCAGCTCCAGTGCAAACCACCTATTCTGCTCCTGCTGTACAAACCACCTACTCTGCTCCAGCTGTTCAGTCTTTCTCCACCTACTCTGCCCCAACCAGTGAATATTTGCCTCCTGTCCAAAGCACTTACTCTGCTCCTTCTGTCAGCTACTCTGCTCCAGCTGTTCAAACCACCTACTCAGCTCCAGCTGTACAAGCCACCTATTCTGCTCCAGCTGTCCAAACCACTTACTCTGCTCCCGCTGTCCAAGCTACCTACTCTGCTCCAGCTGTGCAAACCACCTACTCGGCTCCCGTCGCCACTTTCCAACAACAATCGTACTCATCTGGTAGCTATTCCTCAGCTGGTGCTGATGTTGGTACTCAATATGCTGCCAACGGTGGTTATGTCTACAAGAAGAAGTAAATCACTTGAGAGCTAAGAAGGGCTTGCAGTTTCAACGAATTATAGTATTTTTCACTCAGCTATATAGTTTCATTTATGCGTAATTGTTATATCCATTTTTTACACATGTAAATTAAATAAATTGAACTTTTTTAAAAAAAATAAATAACGTATATATATATAATTTATTGAAAGCCACTGCAGGGTGCATCGATTTTTTGCAATTGGCTTCTAAAGATTTCTGTATAGACTGAGGTTACTTTTTACTATTTTCTACGGGTTGGTAAATTATCATAAGATATAAACACATTTCTTCTTATTATTACACTATGAAACAAGATTTTGCAGCAAGGACAAATTTTGTTGTTATATTAAGAATCAAGAAGGACAAAATGTCATGATGTTAAGTCAATGTGTGATACAGTTTTTTCTGCAGACCCTACCTTTTTGGGGGTTGTTTTTAGATGACATTTCTTCGGTCAAATCGATATTTCGATGAGTTACAAACGGAATGTCAAAATTAATACCCTCCACCATAGTATGGAGGCATACAGAGGTAGTGCTTCTTTCTTCTGTTTGTCTGTTGAAGCCATGGAAACATTGTAAGAAGCAAATAAATAAAAATACACAAACTTGTTTAGTTGATATTTAAACAACAACACAAACAGAGAATCGACAACTGAACTTGAGTGCGGTAGGTCTGCTGCTGTGACTGGACCCTGCGAAACATAGTTTTTTGGCTATAAATTGGCAAGTGCGCTGGTCGATGAGTATCAGTTCCTTTGCTCACTTCACAAAGATCACATTCAACATTTTAATTTTCAATTAACTCAAAATGGTTAGTATAACAGAAAGGAGGATCTCTTCATTTGGCATCGAATCGGATTAAATGCAGTTTGGGATATAACAAAATAAAAATAAAATCGTAAATGCATTTCTTAATGTAATAACTTTGTATTTTTTCCAGAAACTTTTCGTAGCTGCTTCTTTTGCTCTTTTGGCCTTGGCTGCCGCTGATGTTAGCCATTTGTCCAATACCTATTTGCCACCTGTTCAACAAACCTACTCGGCTCCTTCCAACGAATACTTGCCTCCTGTACAAAGCACCTACTCTGCCCCCTCGGTCAGCTATTCAGCTCCAGTGCAAACCACCTATTCTGCTCCTGCTGTACAAACCACCTACTCTGCTCCAGCTGTTCAGTCTTTCTCCACCTACTCTGCCCCAACCAGTGAATATTTGCCTCCTGTCCAAAGCACTTACTCTGCTCCTTCTGTCAGCTACTCTGCTCCAGCTGTTCAAACCACCTACTCAGCTCCAGCTGTACAAGCCACCTATTCTGCTCCAGCTGTCCAAACCACTTACTCTGCTCCCGCTGTCCAAGCTACCTACTCTGCTCCAGCTGTGCAAACCACCTACTCGGCTCCCGTCGCCACTTTCCAACAACAATCGTACTCATCTGGTAGCTATTCCTCAGCTGGTGCTGATGTTGGTACTCAATATGCTGCCAACGGTGGTTATGTCTACAAGAAGAAGTAAATCACTTGAGAGCTAAGAAGGGCTTGCAGTTTCAACGAATTATAGTATTTTTCACTCAGCTATATAGTTTCATTTATGCGTAATTGTTATATCCATTTTTTACACATGTAAATTAAATAAATTGAACTTTTTTAAAAAAATAAATAACGTATTTTATTTTGAAATTTATTAAAAGCCACAGAAGGTTGCATCGATTTTTTGCAATTGGCTTCTAAAGATTTCGGTATAGACTGCGGTTACTTTTTACTATTTTCTACGGGTTGGTAAATTATCATAAGATATAAACACATTTCTTCTTATTATTACACTATGAAACAAGATTTTGCAGCGAGGACAAATTTTGTTGGGAATGGTCGATTATATTAAGAATCAAGAAGGACAAAAGGTCATGATGTTAAGTCAATGTGTGATACAGTTTTTTCTGCAGACCCTACCTTTTTGGGGGTTGTTTTTAGATGACATTTCTTCGGTCAAATCGATATTTCGATGAGTTACAAACGGAATGTCAAAATTAATACCCTCCACCATAGTATGGAGGTATGGTAATACCTCCATACTATGGTGGAGGGTATAATAAATAATTGTAGCAAAGTTTGAAATCTCTAACTAATAAACTTATTTAGTTAGATGTACTATTCTTCGCATTTTTACAGATTTTTTTTAGACAGTATTACTAAAAAGTAGTTAATTACAATGTACTTTCTTATAAGAACAATTGAAAATATAATGTTAGAAAATTGAAAGAAAAAGACCAAATGTCGACGAAAATGCTATAGAAAATCTATTTCTGATGGTGCGTGTGATATTGAGAGATCAACGCCGAAGCTTACCAGGGTAGGAGCATATTCGGCGAATTTGACTTCTTTTACAAAACTGCAAAAATGTTTAACTAATATTAATTTATTATATATTTTTGAACTAATTTTTATAATTAAGAATCAGAGGACAATAATCAGCCAAAAATTTTGTATATCTGTTCAATAAGTACTGAGATATAGAGCTCTTCCCTTCCCTCCGCCATAAGGTATTTTGGGGATTTTGGACACGTTTTCCAACCGAATTGGCTTTAATTTGGTATTTTGGGTTGTCATCACAGCACATCTCAGTACCTAAAAATATTATGACCCATGTTGCAGGGTAGACCCCCCTATTGGGGAGTACCCCAGTATTAAAGGGATTTTGGGCATGTTATTCCACCGAATTAGCTGTAACTTGGTGTTTTGGGTTCTGACCCATGTTTCAATGTAGCACACATATTGGGGAGTACACCAATACTCATATTTTAGGTATTTTGGACACACTTTCCAGCCGAATTAGCTGTAATTTGGTATTTTCGGTTCACTTTGAAGTGAAGTGAATCTGACCAAATACTTAGAACCTAACCACATTGTTATTTTTTAGCGTAAATATTCACTTCGGTAAGACAAGATTTGGAAAATATACCAGGGTTAAAAAGTGGAGCTATAATCGCTCAAGAAGGTGCAAATATAGCGAAATATTGCCCAGGTTCTGAATATAGAATATAGATTTTCATGGTAGTTGTACAGGGTATCATCTGGTCGGCCCCGTCCGTCTATACTGCTTCGCTCACTGGTCTTATTTTTATTTGAAAATAGACACTCCGAGGAATTTCCATATACCTTTTTGCATTTTATTCCAGTTTTAAGAACATACTTTATATAGGTCCAATAATAATTCTTAATAATTAATCTGTGGGTATAAGTCTGCATTACAAAATATATGTATATAATGTACCGTTATATTCTAAAAGTGTACTTATACCCACAGATAATTTTTATTACATATAGAAATGATATTGCAACATTTGAATTAAATCGGAAGAAACCGTACGTGGGATTCCAGTACTCTTGTTTGGGTCAAATAAATACGCTGTACCAAATTTCATCTTAATCTGACTTTAAATGTGATCTGTATTTTGCATACAATTTTACACCAAAATCAACTCAGATTCTATACATACTCTTAAAAGGAATCATAGGTCTACCTCCATGATGTCCGCATAAATGTAAGAAATCGTCCGGATATACCATTGTTTCCTTTTAAAGTAATTTCCAAAAAAAATGCCATTATAATTGATTTGTCATTCCGAAACGTTCATCTCAGTATAAGACAATTGTTTCATTGAAAATATTAAGAATATTTTTTATGACCATTTTTTATTATTTTATTTGTGAGAAATTAAAGAATACAAAAAAATAACAAACTTGATTTACCCCATTTACTACCATAAAAACACAAGAATTGGCAATTGAGTTTGTGTGCAGTAGTCCGTAATTTGATATCGTGTAATAGTTTTTGGCTATAAATTACCTGCGGTGTTTTACGAAAAACATCAGTCCCTTTACTTATTTCAACAAGATCACTTCTTTGGATTTTAAAAAGTCTATTCCAGCAATATGGTTGGTATACAAATGGAGATTTTTTTAATTCGCCATGATTTTTTATATTTTATAACAATAATTTTTATTTATTACAGAATTTTTTCCTGTTCTCCTGTTTTGCCCTCTTGGCATTTGCCTCGGCCGATGTTAGCCACTTGTTGAACACTTATTTGCCGCCAGTACAACAAAGCTATAAGGCTCCATCGAATGAATATTTGCCTCCAGTTCAAAATACCCTATCACCGCCAGCTCCTTCCCGTGAATATCTAGCTCCTGTTCATAGGACTTTTTCTGCTCCCGTTTCTTTCCATCAACACTCATTCCAAGCAGGTTTTGGTAGACATATTTCAAAACCTTCCCGTGAATATTTAGCACCTGTACAAAGAACTTTCCTTGCTCCTGTATCTTTCCATCAACAATCATTTTCGACCGTTTCTGGCAATCGTATTTCTTCTCCTTCTCGTGGTTATTTAGCCCCTATACAGAAAACATACTCTGCTCCTGCTACATTCTATCAACAATCATACTCGTCGGGTTCTGGTAGCTCTTCATCAACTGGGGTTGATGTTGGTACCCAATATGCTGCCAATGGTGGTTACATTTACTGAATGTGGAATTTTCAGGACTGTAAATTTGCATTATACATTTTTGAAAAAATATTTTTTATTTAAAATATATGTTATTGAAAACATTTCGAATAAATATGTTTTCTTTTTTTAAAAATATTGTAAGAAAATATAACTCCCTAAAATTATTACCGACCGAACTTTTTATACCCTTCACATTTAAAATATGTGAAATTAATGGGGGTTCCTTGAAGAAAACGTATATTAAATTAGGACCTTGAATATACCGAAAAATACGAGAGAAAACGATGATGATCTAGTAAGGGAGCTAGGTTTTATGAGGCCATACCATGGATAATTTTGGGTGAAGTTGCAGATCATTTATTTGGCCCAAGGACAACATCTCTTTACATTTACATATAGCTCTCACATGTAATTTTACCCGAGATGAATTAAGTGGTGCATTAAACTCTCAAGGTATATCCGCTTTAGATGAAAGTTTTCTAATCGTACTAAATTCAGTCTACAATGACGCGTATCAAGTGTCGTTTAAATCGGTTCAGATTTTGATATAGCTAACATATATATTCGCCCGATTTTATATAAAAGGTTCACCAAAGGCGAAACTTTTTTTCTGATTTAAGTTCCATTGAAATCGATGTAGATATAGCTCCCACATTTATTTTCGGCTGATTAAATTTAAATCGTGCACACTACTCACCAGATTTGTCCGATTGAGACAAAATTTGGCATTCTAGATTTAATACGGTAAGTTAACTTTCGTGAAATTCGGTTCAGACTTATATATATTCCATATCTATTTTCGGACGATATTATGTAAATGGTGCACCAAACTCTCCGTATTGGGCTTAGAAAGATAGGAGCTAAGTTTTCTTAGAATAGGTTCAGAATTAGATGTAGCTCTCATATACATATATCCAAATTTATGTAAATGCTGAAAAAGGCAGTATATTTTTATACCCTCCACAACTTTGTTGTCAGGTATTAAAGATTTGTGCAAAGCCAAAAGTTTGTAAAACCACGAAATATCTGTCCAAACCCACCTGTAAGGCTAACGTCAGAGTGCAAGCGAGAAGCGATGCGATACTACATGCTATAATAGTTCATGCTACTTCAATGCTATAGTATGTCAGAGTGAGTGCTATAGAGAGCAAAGCGTGTTGTTTGTTTACATCGCCAATTGTAAACTGGTGTTTGTTCACTCAAGAAGGATTCAGACGAAGAATTTTTCATATCACAAAATATTTTCAAATTAATTTTTAAACGAAAATTAACGAAATTAACAAATGTTTGTTCGTCGATTTCATTAATTTTTTCAAAATTATTTTATTATTATTTAATTAAATTTGGACTTGAGTCCACAAGAACGATGCCAAAAACCGATCATAACGGTAAATTAAACTAATAAACAAAGAAACTCAAACAGAGACGAAGCGAGTTCTTGCTCCAAACCATTGCACAACACGCTTTATCGCTTGCACTCGCTTCGTCTCGCTTGTAGCATAGCATCCACTCTGACAGCACACGCAGAGGTTTATAGCGTCTAGCGGCATATCATAGCATCGCTTCTCGCGCGCTCTCTGACGTCAGCTTAAGTTTACCGATTGTCATATCTCGACTAGCTGAGCCGATCTAGACTGGTGTGTCCGTCCATCCGTCCACTATAATTTGTAAACACGATACAGTTATGGACCAATCTTTGCAAAATTTTGCATGTAGGGCCTTTTCTGGCCAAAGAAGTCAATGACACTTACATATTTACCGGTGTCTACGTATTCAATTATTAGTTAGTAACCTATTACCACACTAGAGGGCGGAAATATAGCGCGGATTGCTTTAAAATTTTTCATGAAGTTCCAGTTATGGTCATGATCAGATAATAATTTTGGGATGAAATCGACCGAAAGCATATATATATATATATATATATTTTAATCGATCTATAAGCCAAAAATCTCAACACACTGAATATTAGTAATATACGGAAAATATGTCAGTGACCTCTTATCGGACAAGGAAATGCAAATATCACGAAATATTGCACAGGATCGGAATAAACATCTGCAATAGTTTATTTGGTAAACATTTCAAAATGCCTATTATCAAAATTGTTTTGGATTTTTAGAATAATCACAAATCAATGATTCATAGAAATTATTCACCTACCATTAATAAAAATGTCAATTGGATATGAAAAGATTTGCTAATTATTAATTGTCAGGAAACCACATTTGTCAATATTAAAATAAGTTGATGGCTTAATTATACTTTGTTTATATTGAAACAATAAAATTATGGATATGTGCATTAATTAGTACGTCTGGAAAGATTGTTTTTTATAATTGCTAATATGATGTGGGTATTCTCAGGATTCCTATTGTCAATGAAGCTAACTTATGTGCGGAATATAAACGTTTACTATATGCTCTAATTTCAAATGCTTATTGCGAAATTATTGTGACTACTACTTCTAAGAATCTCAAGTTTTAATTGTTAAGAATAATTATGTATACTAATAAAAGAGTACAGTGGTTGACTGACTTAAGAATCATCAATGCTCAGGCGAAAGAATCTTGAAATTTTGTGCGAGGGTCACTCTTAGTCCAAATGTGTCAGATAAGGCTGGGTTTTTAGAAATCCGTACAAGAACGACACGAACAGTACTAAATATGGTACATTTGTATTTGGCGAACCGGCAGGGCTAGAACACTTAAATTTAAAATGAGGGACACTGATGGAGTGTAGGCGTGCCAAAGGGGTTTTTTTCGCAATTAAAACAATAAGTTTCCGAAAAGTACTGAAATGTACTGAATTTGTTACAATTTCGTAGCATGTGAACGGATAGAGCTAAAAATTTGAAATGCGAATCAGGGTTAAGAAGCATATATTCTAATAAAAGAGTAAAGTGATTGACTGACTGAATGATTTAACGATTCATCAACGCCCAGACGAAACGGCTGAAGATAGAATCTTGAAATTTTAGGTGAGGGTCACTTTTGGTCCAAAGGTGTCAGATAAGGCTGGGTTTTTGGAAATTCGTACTAGAACGGTACGAAAAGTACTAACTGTGATACCATTTGTATTTGGCGAACCAGTAGAGCTAGAACTCTGAAATATGGTACAAATTTGATTTGAAGGTACAAATCGAGCTGGAATCCAGAAAAGTAACATTACCGTCGGAGTGAAGGATTAGGATATGTACGTAGTTTTGGAAATTGTTTACTTATGTGTAATAGTAAAGCGGATTTGGGTGAAACGATAGAGCTGGAACAATGAAATTTGGAGTTAGGATCATTGTAGGGATGTTGGATTAGGGTCAGGATTCAGTTTAGCAAATTAATACTTATGGGTACTAAATTTGGTACAATTTGAATTTTAGGTGAACCAATAGAGCTAAAATCATGAAAATTGGAGTCAGGATCACTGTGGAGGTGTAGGATTGAAATAGGTAGGAAGTTTTAGAAATTCGTACTAATGTGTACTAAATTTGGTACAATTTAAATTGTGGGTGAAGCTATGAAATCATGAAATTTTGATTTAGGATCACTGTGGAGGTGTAGGATTGGGGTATGTAGGAAGTTTTGGAAATTCGTACTACTATGTACTAAATTTGGTACAATTTGAATTGTGGGTGCACCAATAGAGTTGGAATCCTGAAATTTGCATTTAGGATGACTGTGGGAGTGTAGGTTTGGGGTAGGAAGTTTTTTTAAATAAGTACTACTGTGTACTAAATTTGGTACAATTTGAATTGTGGGTGAACCGATAGAGTTAGAATCCAGAAACTTGGATTTATGATCACTGTGGGGGTGTAGGATTGAGGTATATAGGAAGTTTTGTAATTGGTACTATTGAATTGTGTTTGAACCTATGGAGTTGGAATCCTGAAGCTTTGATTCGAGCTCTAAAGTTTTTTATTGAAACTTTAGAGCTCGAATCATGTACTAATCGAATCGAATTTGGTACTCAATGGTACGATATTAATGTGTGGATTGTTTTTTCTGACATATGCAATTTGCTGTGAAAATAAATAATATGTTAATGCATGTTTAAATATTTCGATATAATGAGGTGGTTTTGGAAGTGTGTATTAGGTACAATTTACTAAATTTAGTACAATTTAAATTTGGAGAAACTTATGGAGCTGGAATCTTGAAATATAAAATTAATATTACCGTCAGAGTGTATAATTGGGAAATGTATGAAACGTACTAAATAGTACTGTATTTGGTGCAATTTAGATTTTTGGTGAACCGATAGAGCTAGGACACTGAAATTTGGAAATAAAATTACTGTTGAGGATTAAGCTATAGAGACAGGATTAAGCGTATTTATGTGTACTATTAGAGAACATGATGGAAGTAGCTAAGAAAATTCTTACTTTGAGTGAGCGGATAGAGATGGGAAATATAAATTTGGAATTACAATTGCAGGATTGAGAAATTATTGGAGTTTCGTACATAAGGATACGAAAAACAGTAAATGTACTAAATATGGCACAATTTTGGTGTGTATGAACAGGCAGAGCGGGAATCCTAAAATTTGGAATTAAAATTAGTGTTGGAAGTGTATGATTGAGACATTGGCATTTGAGTGAACGGATAGAGATGGAAAATTTATATTTGGATTGCTGTTAGAGTACGTGATTGAGGTAGTGTTAAAAATTCAAATTTATAAGTACGAAAAGTACTAAATATTGTACAATTTAGATCTATGTGAACGGATAGGATGTAGACGGATACGTCTACGAAAAGTAATAAATGGTACTAGATTTGGCACAATTTGGAAGTTGGTGAATGGATAGAGCTGGAAGTCGTAAATGTGGGCTCAAGACTATTATTGGAGTGTATGAATGAGGTCGTTTTGGTACGAAAAATTCTAAATTTTGTACAATTTTGACTTGGACGTGCAGAACTGGAATACTGAAAGATGCAACTAAGATTACTGACGGAGTGTAGCATTGATATAGTTTTGGAATATGGGTACGAAAAATACAGAACGGTACCAAAATTTGGTACAAT